TGGATCTTGCAGATTTCATGATTGCCACCTCCAAATAGGCCTTTAATGCTGCCTGGAAATCATACTGTAGCTCCCTAATCCATTCACTCTTCCACTATCCTAAAAACTGTTAGTTTTTTTTTTCTACTTGTATCATTAGATTTTTCACGGTTCTCTTGTTAAGTGCCCACATACCATCTGCTTGTGGGAACTTTGCTGAGAATTGATATGAAGCATCACATTTTCTAAAATCCATTTCCCTGGGCATTCGCCTATTGTCCAGACTATATTCCTCCTATTCCCCACAGTCCCTCAAAGATCAGTGACCTCTGTCTTTCCATCACATCTGTCCTATCCTACAGTCTCCCGTGGGATCCCACTCCTACTGAGCTCTCCATGAGCACTTGTCAAGTGAATGAGAATGTGAACGCCTAGCAGCTTGATTTACTGGGCTGCTGCTATTCAGGGAGGCAAGCATCTGTTTTCATCATTTTATTAAGTTTTTTTTTTTTTTTTTTAAAGAAATACAAATAGGCATTTAGCAAGGGAGAAGCACTTGGCAGGAGGCAGGCAAGTTTGGGCCATAGCTCTCAGGATCTGATCCCAGGCAAGGAAAGAACTGACCCCAGAGAGCCAGTACAGTCTTGGTGCATCTTGAGTATTCTGGAAATGGCAGGTCTAAAAGGACAAAATCCTTTCACATTCATCATTTAAGGTGCGTGTGAAGAATAAATAAGTCTGGCAGTTATTTAGTGCTCAATAAATATTAGCTGTAAATTATGATTATATTCTCTTTTGTGTCTCACAATCATCCTGTATGGTATTATAACCTGCATTTTACAGAGGAAGAGACTGAAGGTCAGAGAGTTTAAGGAGAGGCTCAAGTCCATTTGGACAGAAAGTGGCAGAGGCTGGACTGGCATGGAATCCTAGGACTCTGGTACTGTTTCACTTAGGATTTCAGGGCATCCTCAGTCTCCAGATGAAATTATTTTACCCCCGTCATTGGGATTCATATCTCTTCCTTCTCCAAACTTGTCGTGACCTCCCCCGGCAGATGGCATCAGATATTTACCGTATGATTACAGCCATGACTGAATTTAGCCAGAAGAGAGGGGGCTGATTAGCGACAAGGCTGCAACCCTGAGAGGAGGAAACAGTTCTGAGGTTGCACCCTGCATTCTGCTGGAGTAGGAATGTTGCTTAAAATTGTCCTGGCTCAGTTCCCTTTCTCTGGAAGGGTAAGAGACACTCTTTTGGCCAATACATGGACTTTGGAGTCAAGCTGACAATATTGGAAATGCTGTTGACAGCATCCAGATCATCACTTTATGGTTAGAGGGATGACCAGGCCAAGGAGACAGGAATGTCCTTCACAGAAGCAAAGTTCAGCATACAGAGTTTTCTCTGTGTTCCATTTTCTGGAAACATCTCTCAACAGTCTCCATGTGGAGAAGCTGTGAGGCTCTTTACAGCAAATATTTTAGAGTGCTCCCAAGTATTTGCAAAGCTCATATTATAGTGCCAGCCATATTGAGAATTTCTTAACATGCCTGCCATGAGACGGTGGAGTAGGCATCGGCATAGTCCCAGGTCTCACAGTGATGAGCCATGAAGTCTTGCAGAGATAAAATCATCTCTCCTAGCCTCAGTTTCCCTTTCTGTAAAGTGAATGACTTGGACTCTATTTGGATGCCTCCAGCTCTAATATTTTATTAGTCTATGATTCCATGAGTCAAAGTTCAGAAACAGTTGTGTTCCTTTATAAAATGGCAAAATTGTGGGTCCTAGAATCTATGACTCTATTAGCAGGACCATACCTACTCTAGAACTTTCTAGCTTCGTGTTGTCATTATCTTCTTGAGCTAACTGCTCTGACTCAATCTCTTCCACCTGAAGCCTTGTTTCCTCCACCAGAATTCCATTTAATTCCACAAACATTGGCTGAAGATTCACTGTGTTTCCAACTGCATGGCTACAAAGATGAATGAGACTAGTGTCCCACCCTTGGGGAACTCACAGTGAGAAAATCAGGTCAAGACTTCCCAGAACTTCTTTTCTCCAGAGATCTCTCTATTTCCTTGACTAGTGGTTCTTAGAGTGTGGTCCCTGGACCAGTAGCATTGACTTTAACCAATAACTTGTTAGAAATGCAAACCTACTGAATCTGAAGGTGTGTGGTCCACTGATTTTAGTTTTGGTAAGTCCTCCAGGGAATTGGGATGCACACTCAAGTTTGAGAACTATCGAAGTAGCCCTCCCAGGGACAAGCTATGAGACTGTGCTTCTGAGCCCTCAAGAGACCTGAGGAGACACCTCGAAGAAAATCCGGTGTACTTGGGCTGCCAGGACTTGGTGTTTTCAAGTCAGAATCCCAGCTCACTTGGAACCTCCAACAGCATTTTGAACCTTTGTGGTATTTTTGTAAATGTCCAGGCATTGTGGAAACTACGCATTTGTTTTGACAGGAACTAATCCAATTTAGTGCATAACTCCCCGTGGAACTTTCAGGCTTCCCTTTCAATTGATTGTGATGCTTGGTGGGATATTGACACCGTGACTAAGACCCACGATAAAAATCTCTGTCCATGGAGGACTTCCTGCTTCCAAAGATCTCCAAAGGAAGAGAGTTTTCAGGAGGCCAGTTTTCTGTGTACCTTCCTCCCTCTGAAGGTGCTTTAATTAACATCCTTCTCCATGGCAGGTCTCACCCTGGTCCCTGTTCTCCTCAGCAGGTGAAGATCATTGGGTCACATCTTCCCTGTAGTAGATTCAGACATGAAGGGTGGGGCAGGTGTGGCTCCTGGAGAGGGGCCTGCCTGGGTCCTGGAAGTGTCTGCTCTTGTCCTCCCTCCAGGGAACTGTGGATCTGTCATCCACTGCGCCAGCCCAGGGCTGTATGCTAAACCATAGGTACCGTGGTGAAAATTAGAAATGCACCTCCTCCAGGTGCCTCGTAGGGTGGACTCGTCCCCTGGGACTCAGGGCTTGGCTGGGTTTCAGTTCTACTTGCCTCCTTGGGCAGGTGGCTGTGTGCAGCACCAACTGCACAGCCGCAGCCGTAGCCCTGTCTTCTAGCCTGGGGATGGACACGGATGAGGGCTGAGGCAGGTGGGAGGTGGGGTGGGTAGAGGAGAGCCCGTACATGCAGCCACCACATGTTGGGGGTTCCCACGTGCAGGCTCTTTCCCCACGTCATTTCCTTAAATTCTCACAACTACCCAGTGAGGTGGATATTAGGATCATCTCCATATTTTTGTTTCTTTTTCTAAATTATGATAAATTTCATATTCTCAGTGCTTTCATTTTAAGCACCTAAGCTCCATTTCCCATGAGGATGATACTCCTAGCTCTTTTCTCAAAAACTTGTTCTGAAAATCAAATGAAACCATAGTGACAAAGTGCTCTGGAAAAAAAGTTTTAGGATATCCCATAAATGTTAGGTTTTATATAGATCCTATTGCTGTGTCCTCAAAGGCGATTTCTGGGGTCTCTGTCTTGAGAAACTCCCCTCAGATTCACCCAGCCCCCCAACAGTGTTATATGTGGGTGTGGCAGAAGGTTGGTTTCCTGCCAGGCTCCTGGCATTTGGGGGTGCCTCCCCCCAACATCATTAGGCTGTGAGGCTGCAGTGATGGGCGTGTGTTCAGGCGCTTCGGGACGAGTCACGGCCTGGCAAGCCCGCCTGGACAGGATGACCTCATGGGCCTTTCCCACTTCTCATCTTTGTGACTGGCTTCACTGTTTCATTTTTGGCTTTGTCTCTCCTTCTTGCAGCTGTGGTGATTGGGATTTAGGGCAAGCATTTAGGATCCCTTTTCTAATCCCTTTCAAATCCTGATTTAGCTGCAAAGTCCGGGAAGGGGGAGGAGAAGGAGGGAGGAGGGACTCGCCCTGGCTACAGGCAGCGGCTCAGAATATCTGAGAAACTCCACCAGGAATGCCCACCTTCTGCCCACTGAGGCAGGAGGCCTCTCTTCTCATCCAGTATCATCCTCGTCCCAGAAACACGGAGGTTTGAGTCAAACCTCTTACAACTTTCTCGCTTAGGTGCTTAAGGCATAAGTATGGTAGTGGTGGGGTTAGAGAGAGACTTACCATCTGCCTTTTTCTAGTTTAACTGTGTCCTTTACTGAAATGTTTCTTGGGCAGGCCCCTTTTTCTCCATTTCCACTGCTGCCTACTGGATGAGATCTGAGTCCGCCTCTCAACCATATTAGTGCCACAGCTGTGTGGATCATCCACTTTGAAAACCACTGCCAGACTCAATCGGCTTTTCATCGCGTAGCTTCCCTACAGGAAGCTCAGTTACGCAGCATGACGCTAATACACCCCATCCCCAGTGGCATCATGTACAAATTCCTCAGTCTGAATTTAAAGATCTTTTATAACTGGCTTCAGGCTATCCCTCCAACTAATTCCTGCCTGCAACTCCCTCCCTGTGCTCCGAGGTCTCATCACTTATTCCGTTACCCCCGACATTCATTCATCTTGGGCTTTTGCGTGTTCCTTCCCTCCAATCCAAACTCTATGCATCCATAAGGCAAGCTAATGTGCTGTACCCTTGACCTCAGCCCACTAATATCCCTATCCCCTTAACATCTATTGTCAGACCACACAGCTTCATACTGGCTATTCTTTCACTTTTCCGTTAGTTAAGTCTCCCCAGGTAGACTGTAAGCTCTTTGACGTTGGACCCTGTCCTAAGCTTCTTTTATATTCTCTGCAGTGCCCAGCCAAGTGATGTGCTTTTTGGTAAATAATAAAATAATTTTGACCTCGATTAGGTGTTTGCCCACCTAAAAACTGCATCGGTGACTTTCTAGAAACAAATCTGTTCATTTATCTTGCAAAAAGAAAGCTTATCTGTTTGTAGCCCATAGTCACAACCATCCAGCCATGCACATGTACACCCTTACAACTTCCCCGAGTGAGGAGGGAAACCGGTGAAGACAGCCTCAGCCACTCTGTGCTGGGTCCTTAACTCCATTCTAATGTGTTCTGCTTCCCTCTTTCCCCAGAGAGCTCCTGTGAGGATAAGCAGGCAGACCTGGTCTTCATTATCGACAGCTCCCGCAGCGTCAACACCCATGACTATGAAAAGGTTAAGGAGTTCATCGTGGACATCTTGCAGTTCTTGGACATTGGTCCTGACGTCACCCGGGTGGGCCTGCTCCAATATGGCAGCACCGTCAAGAACGAGTTCTCCCTCAAGACCTTCAAGAGGAGGATCGAGGTGGAGCGTGCCGTCAGGAGGATGCGGCATCTGTCCACGGGCACCATGACGGGTCTGGCCATCCAGTACGCCCTGAACATCGCATTCTCAGAAGCAGAGGGGGCCCGGCCCCTGAGGGAGAATGTGCCACGGGTCATAATGATCGTGACGGATGGGAGGCCACAGGACTCAGTGGCCGAGGTGGCTGCAAAGGCACGGGACACGGGCATCCTAATATTTGCCATTGGCGTGGGCCAGGTGGACTTCAACACGCTGAAGGCCATTGGGAGTGAGCCCCATGAGGACCATGTCTTCCTGGTGGCCAACTTCAGCCAGATCGAGACGCTGACCTCTGTGTTCCAGAAAAAGCTGTGCAGTAAGTCCTGCTCCTCTGTGGCCCTTATAGGAAAGTCATTGGATTCATTCATTCATCTTCAAGCGCTCATTCTGTGCTACCATGTCCCACATTCTGTGTTGGCAGTGGGTGTTTAGCAAAGGCCAAGATAGACACAGTGTTCTCTTGGGGCTTACATTTTGGCCAAGGAGGCAGATACTAAGTATCTAATTACACAAATAAGTAAGTAACTGCAGCTGTGACAGTGTAATGGAGGAAGAATTCAGGGCATGATGGAGCGAACAACCCCAGGACCTAACCTAGGTCTGGGTGTTGGGGAGTTTGCCCTGGGGAGAGACATGTGAGCCCACACTGCAGGAGGAGTGAGAGTGGGTAGACCAGGTTTCCCTCCAGCACGTGGAGCTGCCCTGGCATTCCCTAGGTTGGAATTTGTGAGTCGGAGTAGGACTGGGAACGAGGGCAGAAGTACTAGCATAATTTCTCCTTGGGTGGTGTGGAATTTCAAGGCACTTTTGCCCCATGGTGGTGCTAGCAGTGGATGTTTTCTCAACTGACAAAGAGGCCCAGTGTATTGGGAGGACCAGGCTGTGGTCCTGGCAGCTTCCCATCGGTTAAACCTGCAGGTCCCCCTCCCACCCACCAACTTCAACAGGAAGATGCATTCTTCCATGTTGAGAGTTTTCTTCCCTCTCTTGCTTTCTAACCCTCTTCCCCACAAGGTTTCTCTTTCCCTTCCTTCCCACACTGTTCCCGGTTACCCCAACCCTAGCTTCTGCCCCCACTTTTCTCAGCAGGGCAGCTCGCTTGTCTCCCCAGTTTCTTTTTTCTTGCAGCTGCCTCCTTGTCCCTTCCTCTTCCGGGAGGGCAGGGGCCCAGGGTGCCAACCCAGGAAATGTATAGCCTGACCTGGCAAACAGTGTCCCAATCCTGCCTTGTCCACCCCCGGTGGTCCCTGCGTGTCCTCTCCAGTGACCATGTGTCTTTGATGGAGAAATAGAAGGAAATATCTGTGTTTTAAATGACCAGTCTTTCCCTGGTGTATGAGTGCGGAATGAGCTTAAGAAGCAGACTCCTCACCGATTCTGCAGGAGGGGGAACCTTCCCCTCCAGGGGTGCTGGTGACCAGTTCTCAGATTGTGACAAACCCTAGACCTCCACAATACAGGCGTCAGAGAGGAAGAAGAACAGTGTGCTTTTTATGTGTCTTAAACAAAATCCTTTGCTGAGAACTAAGCTCAAAAAGCAGAGACCCCATTCATTCTTGACTCCAGAGTCAAAAGATTTACTTAAAAAAAATCAATGCCATGAAGGAAAAATAAACTTTTCTTTGCAATGTCACTCGGAACACATTCAGAAGTGCCATTCCCCTGGCACTGCAGAGAGGCTGTGTTGTGGTGTGCCATGGCCTCAGTCGACTGGAAAACTTCGATCAGTAGAACACGCTGCAAACATTTTTAAGGTTTATGACTTTAAACGACTTCTGCAGAATTTATGTTCCCCCTTTCCTGGAAATATTAAAAGAGAAATTGGTTCCGTAACAGCTTTGACAGTTTATTCATTTGTGCTGGGAAATTTTAATGGAGGAGTTCTTTTGTAAGCACTCTGGATTTGTCAGCCAATGGCAAGAGATACTAGGATAAGGCTGTGGAGCGACACAGCAGGACAGACCCCGTGTCGTCCAACGTGAACTTGGCCACGCAAGGAACCTTCTCTGTCTGCTTTGTGGCAAGGCAGCAAAATTATAATAAAAGGCAGTTTGAATTTTTTTCTTCTCCATCATCTTTGTTGTAATCTGGAAGCTCTAAGAAAACATCGGTATTACTCCGATGGTTCGTGTGGCCTGCGAATGAATTCCCCCGGGTCCACCATCCGCTCTGCAGGGGCTGCGGCTGCGCTCTCCCGCACCGCCAGGCTCTGCTGAGCACACTCATCAACTGTCTTGAAAGGTTGAGGAGGCCCCAGGGCCTCTTTATCAACTGCACAGTAAAGACCGCAGGAACTAACATTTATAAAGCACTTCCCCTCGTGATTTCGCCTTTGATCCTCAGGACAACCTGGGGAGTCGGGAGGCACAATACTGTCCCTCCCTTTGTACAGGTCTGTACGCTAGTTAAGTGAAGCTTCCAAAAACAAACAGCCAGGAGGTGGTTCTGATTCCAAAGCTCTTGCTCATTTTACTCCTCTGCATGTCAGGAATTATAAATTCTTCTTTTTAGGTAAACCATTTTCGGATGGCAACCTCCACAGTCCAGCCTTGCCAGGTAAACCTGCTTTGTGGTTGGCATTCACCCGAAATAGGTGAAGCTCTGAAGGGAACCTTTGTAGGGTGAAGAGATACAGGCTCCAGCTGCACAGTCCTGAGTAAATCGTTTGTGCTCACTGAGCCTCAGTTGCCTCATCTGTAAAATGGGGCTTTTACATGCAGAGAGTAGATGTGTGAACAGGAGTTACAAACTGTAGAGCCCTATTCAGTGTGCACCATGTTGTGTGTTATTACCATCGAATACACTGAGGACCAATGGGCTGGGCAAATGGCCTCAGTTTTGATCTGCACTCAAATGATCAGACAACAGTTGTCATCTTCCAAGCTGCAGATGACATCTCTGAGGTTTTGGACGTCTCATTTGTTCCTTAAAATGTGTATCGAGCTACACCCTGATAATACCTAATCTTGACCTTTCTTTGTACTTTTTATACATCATTCCATTTAATACTTAAAACTGCCTTTTGAGGCAGGTACTATTATTATACTTTTTTTTTTTTTTTAGAGATACGGTCTCTTGCTCTGTTGCCCAGGCTGGCCTTAAAATCCTGGGTTCAAGTAATCCTCCCATCTCAGCCTCCTGAGTAGCTGGGACTACAGAGACACGCCGCTGCATCCGGTTCTATTATCCTCATTTTCCAGAAGTGGAAACTGAGGCTTAGAAAGGATATGTAACTCCAGATAGCAGAGTTGGAGGTTGAGAGCCTCAGCTCTTACCCTCCACATGCCAGGCACGAGGGCTCCAGGCTGGTGGAAAGATGTTCTCATTCCAGAGCAGTGGGGTGTTTGCTATACGTAGCGTGCACTTCAGAGGCCTCAGAAAGTCACCTGAGGCTGGGGGAGCTTGAGCCGAAGAATGCCAGGTCTGCCTAGGGGCTCCAGGAGAGCTTTGAAGAGGAGGTGATAATAGTAATGGCTAATATTTATTGATATTAATATACACATGTGTTGTTTTAGCTATTAGTATATGTTAAGTCATTTTATTCATACAACAAACCTGTGAAGTAGGCGCTCTTATGATTCCCATTTTACAGAAGAGGAAATTGAGACCCAGAGAGGTTAAATAACTTGTCCAAGGCCACGCAGCTTAAGGGGTAGAGTTGAGATGCGAACCCGGGAATTCTGCAGGCGGAACTGAAAAGCGACACTGCGTCTGCGGAGTGGAGGAGACAGGCAGTCCCCAGGTGTGATCAAGGCGGGACCTTTATCACACAGAGAGGAATTGATCTGGCTATGGAGCCAGACTGCCTGGGTGAGTCTTGGCTTTGGCTCTCTCTGGCTGTGTGGCCATGAACCTGGATACAGTGGTGGCTTTATACCAAAGGGCAGTGACTTCCCACACCAGCCACAGCAAGGGGGAATCCTGAGGCTACATTCTCAGGCCACCCCTGAGACCACCAGAGAGACCTGGAGGCCAGGTGCCTGTGAATTGAGGTCTTGTCGGAAAAATGATCAAAACTCCACACATCCTGGGGTGCGCCATGTTTGCCACCCAGTAAGAGGGAAGAACACCGAGTCTAGGGGCTGGAAACGCTGACCCAAGAGCTCTGGTGATTCATGGGAACCTGGGCAGGACTGCTTTTAATTAGCCTCTAGGTGCCTGCTTTATCAGCCTTTCCAGGTATTTTAGAGCAAGGAGCCAAGCTGTTCCTGTCCTAATAGCTCCAACCCACCCAGGCCAGGCCAATTTAAGGCCCTAATAATGTTCCCAGGACACACCCTTCATCAACTGGCCTGGGCAAAGTCCACGCTGCCTGTACCCCTTGGAGGCCCTGTGGTGCGGACGTGGAGTCTGCCTGCTCAGTAATTGCTCCTTTCGATACCTCCAGGCAGCCTCGCCACGGTGATCTCCCCTTTAGTCAGTCATACAATCATTAAAAAACGTTCATGTCCATATTTCCTAGCCAGAAAATCCAATCCCGCCAATGGCTTAGTCTGCTGATGTGTTATCCCCCGTCGCCCCGCCCCCCAAAAAGCCCGAAGGCCTTCTGAGAAATGAGGTTATTGGAGAGAGGAAGGCACCTGGGCCCAGGTGCTCGAAGAGTCACTCAGCACTCGTCCATAAAGTTCTACAGAGGGGAAAGTTTTATTCTGTTTTAGTAACTATGGTAGAGATTCTTTTGGTTGAAAGTATCAGAAATTCAACTTGAACTTGCTTTAAAAGGGGAAGGGACTGTATTGTACCATTCATGGCAGTAAGGACGGCAGTGGTGAGTCACGGCCCCATCCCTCCCTCCCCGCTCTGCTCTCCTCCCTCTTGGGTCAACGGGCAGGAGGCCTGTCAGTCCCCCAGGGTCACTTGCCCTCGCTTTGAGCTCCCTTTGCTCAGTTCTAGCTCCTAAATGCCAATAAAGGACTCTGATTGTCAAACCCTGTACCAACCAACGGTGGCCAGGAGTGGGGCTGCCTCGGACGCCCACAGCCGCTCTCACAATTACCGGGCATTTCAAGAGAGAAGGAAGGGCGGTGTCTAGAAAAAAGGGGTGCTACGCAGACTAAATAAGAGGTGTCAGTACTGAGGGTCCCTAAAGACTGTTCACAGCTTTATTCTACAGGTAAAGAAATAGGCCTAATAGGGCTGCCTGACTCACCTGAACGTGCCTCATTTGTTCAAGGTAGAGGGAACTGAACACAGGTCTGGCCCCTGGCCCAGTGCTTGTTCCACCACACCAGACTATGGTCTCCGAGCTCCAATTTCTTTTATGGTATGTGGCCAAAATAAGCCTTAGTGACAAGCTGTCACTCCAAAACCCTATGTAGTAGTTCTTTTAATTTCCCCATTTGCTGGGTGACGAAAGTGGAGTTTAGAGAAATTAAGTCATACGTTGGGAGCTATGAGCTGTTAGGTGGTCTGTTCCAGGAGCCATCCCCTTCCCCACTGTGCTGCCTACTGCCCAGCAGATATTTTCTCTGCCCACATCTGCTGTCATCCTCTTTTGTCTGTTAGGGTCTCAGTAAGAATACGGGCACCAGGCTCATCTCGTGGGCCTCCCGCCAGAGGGTGGCTGCCGTGCAGTTGGTCGCCTAGACGCTAGACTTCCTTTGTCTGGAATGCCCCTCTGCCCGTGGGCAATCTGACTGCAGCAGTCCAGGAAAGAAGAGAGCCTTCCAGGACGCCGAGCAAATGCAAATTAAAAATAAGATAATGATATTTTTTCCCTCCTAAGATTGTCAAAACTTAAAGTTTGATCGGACTATGTGCTGAAGTTTTGAGGGGGTGGGAATCGTCACTGTCGTCATTGCTGGTGTGAGCCATCTTGGAAGGCAGTTAGGCCCCATCTATTTCTCCCCGTCCTGGAGAAACAATTGCATGTGTTCAAGAATGTTCATAACAACATTGTGAAAGTGAAAAGTGGGAAACCACCCAAATGCTGACCAAGGGGGAAATGGCTAAGTGAAATAAGGAACAGCCAAATCATCAATGGAGAAATCAGTCGGGAGGGATACACTAGATCTAATGTATCTGGTCAAATCTAAGATACAGTTGATTTCCATTATTCGCGATAATTATGTTCTATAAAGTCACTACAAACACTGAATTAGTGAATACTGAACCATTGATTTTAGGGGAAATCAATCCTCTTGTCACATTTTTGTCAACTGATCAATACATACCCTTGTTTTATGTGTTTCTGTTTAAAGACATCTCATTTGATATATACTGTCGATTCGTTAACAGTGAACTCACAGCCGACGACGGTGTAACTCGCGCCTGAATGAAGCTTATCTAACACACATGTTCCCTGTAAGGCGCATCGCAGCCTTCTTGCATTTAGGAACACTGGACAGCACTTCACCATTTTAAACAGCAAAATCACTGACAAAAAGTACAAAAATGCAAAGAACATGGCACAAAGTAGACTGCGGAAAGGATACTTGTTTACAGCATGAGAGCTGAAAGGAGAAGGCAGAGTGCCACCTTGTTGCCCCTCAGCTGGGAACCTCTGCGTCAGGCTGAGCATGTGCACAAACGACTGTGAGAGCGCTGTGGGTATGGACTCGGGGTCACAAATCAATTTCAGTGAGTAGGCGAATTCACAAGTACCGAGTCTGCGAATAATGAGGATCAACTGAACATGTCTTCACATTTTAACATCTCTGAAGTTGGACTGCACTTTAGATTCCATGAAATAGTACGTGTATCAATATGGATAGAATCTGTGATTGATGTCGAGTGAAAATCAAGTTGAAGCTATGTATAGGATGAACCTAGGGATGTAAAATAAAACAAAATGCCACCGTGCTTTTCCTTTGCTATGAAATGGTTAACAGTTTCTGGAGCATTCCCCAGGCAATGAGTGGTGTTCTCAGCACTTTACCGTCTTAATTAATTTAATCCTCACAAGGTCCTTATGAGGGAGGTGCTATTTTTATCCCTTTCTTATGTAAAGAGGTTAAGAAAATTGCCCAAGGTCACAAAAAAAAAAAGATGTTTATTTCACCCTGAAGTAAAAATGACTGATTGGATTTAATCTACAAACTCTCCTAGTGTTATTTGTGTCCTAATAGGAACTAAAACTCAATCATAAACTCAGAACAATACCTTCTAAATTGTATTGTTATGAAATAAAACAGTTTTACTCCCCTAGTTCATGTAGTGCTCTTACGCTGACGTAAAGAGACATATACTTATGATGGATTTCATCAGTAGCTGAGTATTTCTCGGCCCTGGATTAATGGAATTGTTCTTAGCTTTTGAGAGCCCCTTTTATTTTCAATTCAGAAAAATACAGTTCTACGAATAGACATCTTTTTTGTTTATGAGAACACTCGCATAGCTTGTTCAGTTGATACTGATGCTTGCTAATTTTAAATATGGCCAAGTTGCATTACATTGAATAAAGTCATAAATTAAGATGAAAAAACAATAAGAATTTTTATGAGCTTCACACAGACTTATACAAGAACCAATGTATCTGAAAGCTGAGGTACGTCAGAACTAAATGCAGAAATATTTCAAATTGAGACAAAGATTATGGAGACATGAAACATATGAATAGGTTTCTTAATCCAAAATTTTTTGTATACTTTTGCGTATTAAAAAAGTCACATTACTCTTGAGATTTATGATCCCGAGAAACTGTTGGTTCTTTAATACATCCTTGTTTATCTAATAGCTTTTCTTCCAACCCCATGGCTGCTTACTGAAAATCCACAATTTAGCCAAAGCCCCCTCTGATGTCAGCAAACTTTTCGGATCCCCTTGCCCACCAAATGAGTATTATCAAGTTGAACTGAAAATTTCTAGGTCAAAAATTCGTAGATCAAAAACAATTGGGAATCAGCACTTTCATGTGGTTCAGCCTAACGGTATTTCTCCTTGGCCTTACGTAGCCTGTATCCCTATGTTGCTGATGGCATTTGTGTAGACCCATCTTGTCTACCTTAGACTGTGAACCCCTGTGAGGGTAGGGGCTGCAGCTTGGTTCTCTTAGGGACCTGCTGTCTCCTTCACAGAGTAGGCTCTGAAATAATGTCTGCTGGGTGGAATGAAGGTAGAGGAGGCATCGCTGTTCACTGACCTTCCTGTGTCTTCCCTTTCAGCGGCGCACATGTGCAACACCCTGCGGCATAACTGTGCCCACTTCTGCATCAACACCCCTGGCTCTTACGTCTGCAGGTGCAAACAGGGATATATTCTCAACTCGGACCAGAAGACCTGCAGAAGTAAGATTGCTTTGCTATTTGTACTCCTCTCCTCTTCTCTTCTCTTGCCTGGGCTCACTTTATGCCTCTGTGGTCCTTCACCCAACCGCGTTTCCATAGCAGGCCATCAGGAAGAGTTGGAAGGGTAGTGGAGGAACCTTCTCAGAAACAGCCTCCCTGAATGCGTGAGCTGGTCTCCTTCACCTCCGAGCTCGTTGTTTAGGGGGACTACTGAAGAACCTTTTCATTCGTCTCTATTAACTGTACCCTAAGGACTTGTTTCCATATTTGATTCTCTTCTCTAAAGCATGGCCTTAGGGTGGGTTATTAACATTAGCTAGGAATGATTTTTCAGGTGTGCAGGGATCCATTTGCTTTGGTGAGGGACACTTTATAGGTCTCCTAAATTTAAAAAAGGGTAAACAGATATGATATAAAGTGTTAGAAGTCACCTTCTGTTTTTTCACCAAGCCCCAAAGACTAGACAATATACTGATGTTTGTGCCAGTACCAGGTAATCCTGCCCTTAAAGGAGAGAATGACCCAAGTAGAGAATGACCCAGGTGCTGAGTATTGTGCCCTTACTTTTTTTTTTTAAGTTGTGAGCGAAGCCGCTGTGTTAACCAACAGACAACCAGGCCGCCAAAGCAAGGCCTGGGGAAGAGCGGCCCACATGGAGGCACATAAAACTCTGCTAATCGGACGCGCAGCTCATGCGATGCGCAACTGTTATTGCACCGCGTGGTAGGCTATTAAGCATTAATGGAAAGCAGTTTGCACAAATGGCTGTAATTAGTATTGCATTTATACAGCTGAGCTACATTTTCCATTTTTCCTCTCACTTTTTTTTTTTTGAGACAGAGTCTCACTCTGTTGCCCTGGCTAGAGTGCCATGGCGTCAGCCTAGCTCACAGCAACCTCAAACTCCTGGGCTCAGGCGATCCTTCTGCCTCAGCCTCCTGGGTAGCTGGGACTACAGGCGTGCGCCACCATGCCCGGCTAATTTTTTCTATATATATTTTTTTAGTTGTCCAGATAATTTCTTTCTATTTTTAGTAGAGACGGGGTCTTGCTCCTGTTCAGGCTGGTCTCGAACTCCTGACCTTGAGTGATCCACCCGCCTCGGCCTCCCAGAGTGCTAGGATTACAGGTGTGAGCCACTGCGCCCAGCCCCCTCTCACTTTTCAGTTTCAGGGTTGAGTGGTTGACTGGAGGCCTCCCTGTCCCCCAAGATTAGGTAGCATCTGCTTGACCCTCTGGTTCTGTGGCCTGTGGAAGCCAAAAGCCCTGCAGACTGTGAATCCCAGGGGGCTCTGTGTTCTTAGGCTCCTCCCAGACCCCAGGACCCCAGGTCGCAGAATGCAGCCTGAATCAGCCTCATCTTCCGATTGAAGATCTGACACTTCTTCAGTTTCCACGACAAAAATCACTTGCACCAAATACTCATGGGTTTAATAGAATTTACTGAAGAACTGGAGGAGCCCAGAAAGGTCACCTCACATGCTGCTCACATGTTGTCAGGAAACAACCTAGACATCTCTTTCAGACGTCCCCCCTCTTCGGGTGCCCTACCTCCTCAGGAGGCTTCTTTGCACATCTCTGCAGAGTACTCAGCCTCCCACCGTCTTGCCCACTCGCTTCCTGCCCTTCCCTTCGTAGGCGCACGAGGAATTGCTCTCCCTGTCCCAAGCCCCAGTGACTGACTGGGATCTGGGAATCTGCTGATGTTCAATTTCCGTGGGCTGGCTCAGCCAAGCCAGAGGAATTCTGACACTAGTGAATGAAAAACAAAAAGCTCCCCCTGGTTTCACGAGCAAGGCCTTCCCCATGCACCAGGGTTTGTGAGGCCCCACCCGGGCCCACCACAGGCACCGATGTCCTTGGGCTGTCCCGAGTGCTGCTCTGGCCTCGGCTCCCTCCTGCCTGGGGCTGTGGCGCAGAAGAGAGTGAAGCAGAAACTGCCTGCACGTTGGACAGGCTGGCTGAGTGGAGGACAGGGAGGCCCAGGCGGAGGAAGGTCAGGTGCCCAGGGCAGGGGTTCTCAAACCTCAGTATCTCAGAATTAGCCAGGAAGCCGACTCCTGGGCCTCCACCTTGGAGATTGTGAGTCTGTGGTCTGGATTTCAATGAGCTGACAGATGGCTGCCACACTTCGAGATCCACGGGCCTCAGGCAGTGAGGGGACCCAGAGAGGGGTTTAGGAGAGCTCTCCTGTCCCATCTGACCCAGCCCCCCATCACCCTCACACAGTCGAGCTGTCTTTACCTTCAGTGCCAGGCTTAGCTTAATACACGTACAGTGATAAAGAGTGGGTCTGTCTCTTTCAGAAGATAATACTAGTAACTCTTGCCTTCCTGAAATTGGTGTACCAGTGGCTGTGGGAAAGAACAGGGCCTTTACAGCCCATAAATCTGGTTTGAATCCTGACATTTTCACCTACTGGTGGTGGTTGTCTCACTCTGAGCTGGTTATTTAAACCCTTCGGCTCCATTGCCTCACCCACAAGACGGCAAGGGTGGTAGCAAATCAATACCTATCTCATTGATAGGTGCTTGTTGGCTCTGTTTTTGGTCTGGGGGACAGTTAAAAGCTGTGCCAAGGGGAGGCTGACAGGGACCGGTCCCTGCTAACACTGAGAGAAACTCACTGTGGGCCTGGAGAGGAACAAGACACAGCTATTAATATTTCCATTTCTTTTCCCATCCTGGGTGCAGCTGGATAATCTCCCAGATGGAGAGAAATGTAGTTATGCCTCCTCCCTGAGGCACCTCTTGGTCCCTAAGAAGTGCTTGCTATTCATTCTTCCATATACTTGTTGATTGGTTCCTTTTTTTTTTCATTTACCACATGTTTATGAGCACATCATATGTGCCAGGCAGCATGCAAAGTACTGGAAATAAAATAGTGAATAAATCAGCAATGCTCCTTCTCTTTTGGAGCTCACATTCTTGCATGGGAATGAATCGAATAAACAACCAAGGTAACCAAAAGTGATTGCAGCCCATGCCCAGCTTGGTGTGTGGCATATGAGGTTGGGCCTAACTATAGCCACTTCTTAAGTGTTTACTCTGTGCCTGGAGCTCTCCTGAGTGCTTTGTATTTGTTATCTCATTTAATTCTCACAATGAGCTCTTAAAGTAGGTTTTATTACTCTCATTTTACAGATAAGAAAAATAAGGAACAAAAATGTTAGACAATTTACTCAGGGCCACGTGGCTAGCAATGTAACCAAACCAGAATCTAAATTCTGTTATGTCCTAGCTCTTAGGTCATGTCTGTCTCATGACCCTTGAAGGCCCCCAGATGGCAGCAGGGCAACCCTTCCACCAGAGAACCTTCTCTAAGCCCAGGAGGACAGACAGGTTCCACAGCCCTTTAATCCTGGGGAGACTTGGAATTAATTCACCAAGACTAACATTCAACTGATTGTTATTTCCCAAGTCCACTGCCAACAACTGCTATGCTGCTGTCATTGCACAAAATGATTGTGGGAGGGCCTTTTCAGCAATTGCCTTCAAATACATATGCGTGCACGTGCACACACACACGCACACACACAATAGATGTACTCCACCACTTTCTATTTGTACTTTGCCTGTGTGGAGAGAGGAAGCAGACATAGTTGATTCATGGATTCTTTGTATGGTAATGGACCCTGGCTATTAGACTTCTAGCTCCCTCTCCCATACAACCTCAGAATTCTGTCCCCTCCCAGTGTCCCACATGGGTGATGGTTCTTGAGAACCAGGTCATTACAAAGCACCTGGATCCCATATCCATGCAGCCTGGATCAGTGGTTGAGCTGAAAGCCTACTCTTTATAATTTCCACCTGTGATCCTATTGCTGCCATCTGAAGCCATTTACCAAAAAGTTATTTTTTAAATCCAAATAAAAAGAGAAAGCCCTTCAATTATTGAAGAGTTTTATTCCCACACTCTCTTTTTCAGGAGAAAAAAACCCATCTTTAGGTGACCTGGTTTTAGGTTTTTTCACTGTCCAAGTATCCCTATTATGGGTGGACACCAGTTGTCTCAAAAGTGCTTTTCCATTCAAAGACTAGATCAAGAGTATTAAAGAATCTCACCTTCTGTTATTTCTTGGTCTTTTCGCTAAGATCAAGTGTAGAATATTATCTTCCAAGTTCTGCCCATATGGGCAATTTCAAATGCATTAGAGGTCAATATTGTGGATTCCCTCTGCCTTTCAAAAAGTCTTCCCTATACAATACCATTATATGGTATATGCAAAAGCATTAGCATAATGTTAGAACAATAGAAGTTTATGTTCTTGGACTACTTAACCAAGGAGGTGAAAGATCTCTACAAAGAGAACTACAAAACACTGAGGAAAGAAATCGCAGATGATACAAACAAATGGAAAAACATATCTTGCTCATGGATTGGTAGAATCAACAAGTTAAAGTGTCCATACTACCCAAAGTGATATACAGATTCGATGCACTCCCCATCAAAATACCAACATCGTATTTCACAGATCTAGAAAAAATAATTCTATGCTTCATTTGGAACCAGAAAAGAGCCCAAATAGCCAAAGCAATCTTAAGCAAAAAGAACAAATCTGGAGGCATCACAGTACCAGACTTCATATACTACAAGGCTATAGTAACCAAAACAGCATTGGTATTGGTACAAAAATAGAGACACAAACCAACGGAATGGAACAGAAAACTCAGATATAAAACCATCCACATACAGTCAACTGATCTTTGACAAAGCAGACATTGTATACTGGGGAAAAGAATTCCTATTTAATAAATGGTGCTGGGAAAATTGCATGGCCACATGCAGAAGAATGAAACAGGATCCATATCTCTTGCCACTCACAAAAATTAATTCAAGATGGATAAAATACTTAAATGTAAGGCATGAAACCATAGAATACTAGAAGAAAACGTTGGAAAAACTCTTCTAGATATCAGCCTAGGCAAAGAATTTATGACGAAGACCCCAATGGCAATCACAGCAATGACAAAATAAATAAATGGAACTTGATTAGATTA